CAGCCTTGAGTGACAGCAACGACTGCCTAATTCTCATAATTCTAGGAATAAGTTGCTTTCTTCCGCACATTGATAGGAGTCTATCGACGTTCTGGTGTATGATAATTTCTCTACGGAACTTCTGAGGAAACTTAAATCCTGTCGCAGTCTACGTTACGGTATGATACCTGAAGAGGACTAAGGTTGTTTAGTAGGACTAAGATGTACTAAGAAACGTCGTTGAAAGCCATGGTAGACTTTACATCACTACTTACTACATCATTTTACTGCTGCTCAGCACTGCTAGTAGTACCATTAGCAATAATAAAGGAGACCGACATTTCAATGGATGCGAACTTATTGACTTTCTTTTTCAGGCAACCATTTACGGCTATTCTCAGTGGATGATCGTCGTTAGAGAGATCACCTAATTTACTGAGTATAAATGTGTATCCGTCCTGGAGAAAGCAATGTGCACCCACACAGCATTGTACAGCTTATTAAATTCAGTCTGAAATGCCGAGGGCACAGATGCAACGAAGACGAACAAGTTTTGTCAAACCGCACAAATCAGACTTCACTACGTGGACGTGCTTCAACCTCACGCATAAGAAAATCACAGACAACGTCAGAGCATGATGCCTTGTGCCCGACAACAACAACTACAACACAGCCGCGCTCACCATCACCTACAATGCTGGCCAAAGGGCATGCGAAACAACAAAAATTTAATGATTCATCCACAGGTCGGGTAACAACTAAAATGAGGCAAACCAAAGCGATTATATGTACCCTTTTCAAAGTTGTGCGCCCCATCGGGAAGTGCCAGTGAGGGCAACGTTTTCCATTCCGGCGGTAGATCTTCGTCGGATATACGAGTCTTGTTGTTTATCGGTGGGTAGCTATATTCAACCTGTCAAAATAAAACAAAAAATAAATAAACAAATACACATAATATAGTGTTTACGCACCTGACAGCCTCTCTTATGATGAAATCCAACTACAAACACATACAAAATGCTTCCCGACATATTTACATCGTAAGCGGCACGGTTAACACCGAGCACTAGGCAAGGATAGTCTCATATTGCGTGCTGCCGTACTGTACTTTGATGCTCAAGTCATTTTAGTCCTGTCTGGTCCCGAACGCAGAGGCGTCAAGCAGTGCATCCAATATTCCAGATACTGCATCAGTATCTATGCATCAGAAAGAGATGCCCCGACTTTGAAACGAAGTCTGTTCAGAAACACTTGCTTTGGATCACTTTTCATTATCACAGAGGCATTCGACTGGTTAGTTAGGAAAGTAGAACTTGTTTTTCTTTCTTTCTTTAAACACTGGCAAATAATGCCAAAACTTTCGCAGCCGCGTCTGTACAGTCTAAAAACTAGCTGCTGCGGATCTAGATTTACTTAAACGTATGCATACCGGACAATGTCGAGGCTAGTTCGCCTCCGAACGCCCATTTCAGCCGCTTTTATCTGGGATCGCAATTTTTTAGTGATGAACATAGATTAGCATTAAAATGGAAATCGACTTTAATGCAGACAGTTTTATCTTCAGAACCAGCTGTGCCTTAGTCAGAATCATTCTGGATATCTGAAGCACAACGCCGCTAACCACTGATTTCACCAGTCGATTTCTTTTTTCCATTTTCCATCACGAGACTGACGATCCTGAGGATCATAAGCTTCTCCACCTGTTCTATTCCGCTTCGGCTTATTTGCAGGCCGTATCTGTCGTATCTCTGGATCTGTTGGGCTCGAAACAAACTATTATCACCCTGGTTCCCAAACGACTAGAACAATTGTCAGACAATTTCCTTGATGTCAGCACTTCTGAAATACTAGAAACGCCTATCCTGTCAATATCACGAAAGAAATTTATCGCTATAATGAATCACTGAAAATTTGTATATTGCAATACTTTTTGAACTGATGATGCCATAGTATTCTCAATAACACACTGCGAGAGTTGGCGATGATCGCGCTGAGGGGATGACATTTTCGACTTGTTATCTGCTTTCGAAACAGACTCTTTAGAGGAACCTGTAGTCAACCTGTACGAACGTTATCCGTTCATCCATAATTAGGTGTATCGCCAGCGCTCTTAGATAGTCAGCGATTTGCCAAATTTGGACGAAAAAAGTTAGATCTAATAGGAAATAGCATAGGTGTTGTTCATGGTCCAGTCTTTCACTCTCGTTGTTCAGTATTTTTGCGAATGATTGCCACATCAGCCATCCACTCATATGCATTAATTATACTGACATAGTTGTTGTTGTGTGCTTCCTGCAGTCGTCTGATAACTGGGAAGTTCATAGAAACGGTTTCCGAATCATGCCATTACCTCTTTAACAATGTGCTCGTCCTCAGCCAAAATTAAGCAAGGGAATGATCTGTATGATGTACAGCACAATAAGGCAGAAATTTCTCAACTTTTTGACTGAGACAATCATCTCTCGCAGCCAGCCGGTGCTCCAAATCCTGTATGTGAAATAGTTCGGACGTACTGCTTCATCGAACCTAACCTAGCACCTTCATATTGAAACTGTGCAGGAAATATGCATTGTTTCTTCTAGAACTGGAGTATCGGAACACACGTCATAGACTTGATTGATGAGGTACTTAATCACTCCGGCATTAACTGTCTTCAGTTTTCAATTGTTAACACAAAACTAGTGTGTTTTCCGAATTAGAATGTTTTTCCGAATTAGATCTAAACCTTAAAATCTAAAAGTTTCCTGTGGTAATTGATGCAGTTACAGGTAGTTTGTAAGCTGTTGCAATTGCAAGTGTTTGGTGAATGGCATTTACTCTAAAGATTTAAAGTTTTATTCATTTACCGTCTTGTTTTTATTCATCTTTCCATTGGTTTTTTTTTGGTTTCAGAACATTCTTCATAGCGTCTTTTGTTTTGAAGAGTTGCATTATTTTTATGGTTGTCGTTTGAAGCTGACATTTTAAATAATATATCTAAATATTCGGAAAAAAATGTCCCACCCCCTCCCCCTCAAGGGCTTAAGTATTGGTAGTTTCGCCTACTTATATGACTGCTTTTCTTTCAGTCGATCACTATTCTGTCATCCATATTTTCGAAGACAGTGACAGGAAACGGTAGCAGAACCCGCTTGCCGTTCCAGTGTTGACAATGCTTAATGTTGCAGGTTGTTTCTGATCTGACCTTCTAAAATGTAAATGTTACTTCGATTGATTACAGACTGATTCTGCCCAGAAGTTTGTAAGTAATATTCATTTCGTAATCTGCAATGATTGCTAACTATAATTTTTTTCTACTAATATTTGCGAGCTAGTAACCGGTGCCTTAGAGCAAATGATGAAAAGCTGCGAATGCACTGGACATCATCAGCCAGAGAAGTTCTGTTTTATGCTGAAGGCGATGATCCCAACAAAAACCAAATATTTTTTGAAAGTTTTGAATATCGTCGATGGAATCACTTACTAATATGTAAACGAAAATGGATGAATAATTTTGTACCTATGACTCCTGAATACGTCGGAGGACTGTGGGACGAATGAAACGGCATACATCACGTGATCGGTTCATTGGGTTGAATACTGAAGGTTGCTTTGATGTTGGCACTTGTTGCCGTTATGTATTTACTTTAGTTCAAAGTCTGTTGCTCAAACTCCTTTGCACTCTCTTGCAACACCGCCCCTTTAGTAATATCGCCTTTTAACTGTGATATGGATATTTAAGGTCGGCCCAGATTTTGACGGAAGGCTGTCGTTTTATTAAGCCGTGTTCTAGCCATTGGCACGTAATTAGTAGGAAGGCCTCACCTTTACGACTAACATCGAAGCTGGCCGTTTACTGCAAAAATCAATATATTTTTTGACGTTTCACTTTATCAGAGCAGGCTCATGCCTGGCGAACCGTTTTTAATGCTATAGCGATTGCTAACAAATGTCTAATGCAGGCCCTTATCTTTGGCTAACATGCTTTCAGTTATGAAGCGCAAAATGTAGTCGTTCATAGCTGTATAAAAACAAGAAAACTAAAGAAAGTTTGTAATTGTTTGAATGTCACTCTTACTTACACTTTATGATGGGGCCATTTCTTGTCCCTTTCCTTTCATGAATA